GGGGCGGGGGCGCGCGGACCGCGCGGTCGAGCCGCTGACCGCCGGGCTCGCCGCGTTTGCGGCGCGCGGGGCCGTGCCGGCCGCGATGTGGCGGTTGGCCGGGGAGGTCCTGGGGGACAGGGCCGCGTGGCAGCGCGCGGTGCACGAGGACCCGACCAGCGCGCGCGCGTGGGACGGGCTGAGGGCGGCGACGGCGGCAAACGGCGTGGCGGCGGCGTGATGTTGGTGGGGGAGTCAAGGTTGTGCTTGCGCGCGAGGGGGGCCAGGCAGGTGGGGTTGTCGGTTGTGCAGCCACAGATGGAGGGGCGGGAGCACCCGTACGCTTCTTCGGTTCGCTCTCTTCATTGATGTTTAGGTCCCGCAGCTAGGTACGTCGGCATGGTAGGGTTTTTCCCTTTGGCGCAGTGTAAGACTTTGATCGTCAGGCGGGCAGCCACCCCGTGTGAGCAGGCACCAATGGGGACAGTCAGTGCAAAGGTGGCAAACCCTAGTTCACGGTGCAGTCGTGTCCTGTGTGCTGCCACACAAACACGCCACACGTACAGGAGGTTCATAGTCAGGAGCATAGAGCATTAGAGGCTGGGACTCGGCCATTGGGGGCTGCAGCACGGCAAGTTTGATGGCCCGCTGCTTCTGCGCGGTGCAATGACTGTGCGCAGTACGCAGCCTGGAGGCGCCGGTCACCGGGAGCGTGTGTCAGTGGCAGAGCCAACTCGCTGTTCTTGCATGCCCAGGAAGGACATGACCGCAGCTTGCTGTTCGGGCTGAGGTTGATGGGTGGGCATGGGGTTGGCGAAACGACCAAAAACACTACCAGCGCAACCACCGTTGCATCACTAGACCACAAGGCATTACTGTCTCGGTCGATCAAAAGCGAGCGTTGGCCCTCCAACGCTTGGTGGCAGCCCGGCCATCCATGATCGAGCAAAGGGGGATGCGGCAACGGCCGTGCGGCATCTGACCTAAGGCTTGGTGCCCGGCGCGCCACCCATCTCGCAGCCAGCTGCTGAGCACCACCTCTGGTGCTCAGCTGATGTGCCTACCCGTCTGCTCGTCTGCTCCCCCCCTTGCCTGCATGCCCCCATGCATGTTGGGGTGGGAGCAACCAAACAAGACCGGGGCCGCACACCCAGCTACTGGGAGAAGCCTGCCAGGGCTTGAACTTGCAGGTGCCAGAGCACCTGACCTGATTCACAAGGCAGAAGGTCAACTTTGTTGACGAGGGCAGCTGATCGCGCATTTGAAGGGGTTGCTGGCGCCATGCCGGCTCGTGCTCCCGGCACCATCACCGTCGGCAGGGTGCCCCTAGCGCCTGTCTTATACAGCTTGTCGTTTCAAGTAGAGTTGACTTCACGTGTGAGGTGTCGTATATACCCTCAGTCGGGCACCTGGCGCGGTCACACCAGGGGGGGCGGGTGCCACAACCAGCGCGGGCTGATCTGATTTTTCAAGTTCGGGGGGTTGCCGCGACCCAGAAAAAGGCGTTTTAGTGCATTTAGAAGCCTTGAATCCCCGCTCAAGGGCCGACTTACGATGGTTCAGCTCGACGATCTGGATGAGCAGCAGCGGCAGAAGCCGTGGGAGGACAGGGCAGAGGAGGAAGAAGCTGGAGACGAGGAGGACGATGAGGGCGAGGAGGTGGGCTGGGGTCCGCGCGGGCCCGCCACCACAACGGCGTCGGGGGCCTGATGCCCCCCCTGGACACCCCTGGGCCCGTTCCCAGTGAGCCAGGCTGGGCCGGGCCCCACTCCGCCGATCGCCGCAGCCGCACTCCCCGCAACACGAGCCCGCGCACGGGCCGCGCCGCGCCCGCCCTCAGCGCCCCCGCCCGCCCGCCAACAACGACGCCGCGTGCAGGGGGGCGACGGCGGCGGCGCTGCCGGCGGCGGCGAGGACGACGATGATGACGATGTGAGGGGGAGGGGCGCTGCGGTGGCCAAAGGGTTGGGGCGCGGCGACACCCCTCTCGCCGCCTGGGGCGGCACCACGGCTCGCCCGCTTGGACCCAAGGGTCGGCGGCAGACTCCGCTGCGCCTGCGGCAGCGCGCCGCTTCAGAACGCAGCGCCCCGCGGCCGATGCCTGATCCTGCCGCCTGCCCCGCGCTTCGGACGGCGATCGCAGGATGACGAGGATTACGAGGAGGAGGGGGAGCCGGGGCTCGAGGCCATAGCGGTGGGTCCTGGGACGCAGCTGCGGTGCCGACCGCCTGGCCGGCGGCGGCAGCCGCGCCGAGCCCGATCCCGCGTAGCGCGCCGCCCGAGCTCCGTCGCCGGCGCCGCGCTGCTGCGCGCCCGTCCCTCTCAGATAGGACACGCCGCCCCACGGCGCGGGCGCTGTGCTTGCCCTCCAGTCCCCGCACCAACCTCTCTGGCGTACAGCACCCAGTACCGTCCCCTCAATCATCTTCACCCCCCCCCCTCGTTCCGTGCATCACCCCAGGGCGACGCCCCCGCGGTGGATGACGAGGAGGACTACGAGGGGGACGAGGCCGAGGACGACGTGAGCGCGGCCTCCCGGCAGCTTCCCACGGGGCCGCGGCCCCAACAACCGGCCGATGCGGACGCGGGGAGTGACTCGTGCTTGCTTGCTTGACGGCGCCCTGGAATGCTTGGTCGAGCGGCAATCGTCAAAACGCCTGCCCCAACACGTGCCCGCGCGCCACCCTTTCCCCCTGGCGGCCCCAACAGGAGGACGAGGATGATGATGAGGAGGACGAGGTGGGGGTGGGCAGAGCGGGGTCATGCGCGACAGGGGGTCAGAGCTGGGGAGCGGGTCGCAGGGGCGGATCGGGCCGGCAGCAAGGGGCGTGCGACGCGGCGCCGCGGCCGCGGCGCAGCGGGGGTGGTGGCCGGTGGCCGGTGGCCGGCCGCCGCGCGGGCTTGATCAGCGATGCCTCGGAAGCTTATCCCACTCTGCGCATCTGAGTCGATTATCTGCATCTCGATACCATCAGGAGCAAGCATGTCCACACCTGAGGACCAATCCTCAACCCCAACCCCAATTTCAACAAATTCCTTCAGGAGGAGCCCGCGGCCGGCCTCAAAAGGAAGCGCGGCCCCGGCGACGAGGAGGAGGAGGAGGAGGACGACGATGACGATGAGGAGGACGAGTGACGCCGCGGTGACACCAGGACGCGGCCGCTGGATGGCAAGGGGCGGCGCCGCCGGCGGGCCGCGACGGCCCTGCGTGCGCTGGGGCCGCAGCGCGGCCGCGGCCTGGCCGAGTGCCGCGGCAACGTGAACCTTTTACCTATGCAGCGTTTGGGGCCGCAGCCGCACCCTTACCATCATCTCGGTTGGCTTTGACCCTTCGTGCCGGCCCGCGACGGGCCGGGCGCGCAAACGGCCGGCGCGCCGCGAGCGCAGCGGTCGCTGACGCGTCTCTTCTTTGCAGGCGCGGTTGCCGCGCCGGCCCTGGCAGCAGCAGTAGCAGCAGCAACAGCGGCCTCAGCGGCGGCAGCAGCAGCAGCTGACCTTTGAGAGGTCCAAGCAGCTACTTTTGGCTTCCTCTCGACTGTTCGCCACCGGAGGGCCCACGCCGCGTGTGGGGGGCATGTGTGTTGCCTAGCCTGTGCGCTGGTGATCAGGCCTGCTGGGCAGGGCACCTCGTATGGCACGCCCCTGGGCCGTGGCGCGCATGTGCGTTTGTAGCTCTGTAATACCTGTACGCAGAAAGAAACTTGGCAAGCCTGAAGTTTTGGATCCCTTTCATTGGACCGGAGGTGTGTACAGACTTGTGGACCGTGTGAATCAGTGATTGGACAGGGCAACTCCATTCAGTGGCAAACCTGGGCAGCCCAGAAGTCGCAACAACTTTGCAGGACTAGTCAGGGAGAAGAAAGAAGTGGTTTCAACCCAGGGCGCCTGCTTACGTGAGTTGAAGTACACGCTGCGTCGCATCGCGCCCCTTCGCGCCGCCACAGCAGCGGGTACGGACGCGTCAAGCGGCTCTGTGCTGCGACACGCCGGTGTTTGTGGGCGGATCGGAAGCACGACAGGAACCAATTGAGGAGTTGCCAGGCAGGGACGCCGGCCATTGCCGACGCTCGCTCGCGGCTCAGCCAACAGTGCTCCAGGTGTGGCCGCAAGAACAGTCCGCGGCAGCAACGTATGCAGCTGTCGCTCCGTTGGTTGCCCGCAGGCGTGCTCGGAACTCTCCGGCTGTCGACGAGGGCCGGAAGGCAAAGCCGCACAGGTGGGGGAGCGGGGGCCTGCGCTTGCGGCTCGCACAGAGCCGCGCGCCTGGCATGGACGAGCTGCTGGAGGGTTTCACGATCGTGGAGGCTGGGGCGCAGGCATGGGCGCGGGCGCCTCGGGGCGCTTGATCACCTCGACCAGCCGGTGAATGCTGCGTCGCCGTTTACGCAAGCAGCTGCACCCGGTGGCACTGCCGGTGGGCGTAGGCTGACGCGAGCGGCGGGCGCGTGTCAGCTGCGGGACCACGTAAAGCTGGTGTGGCTGCTGCAATCTGAGTTTTGAACTTGAACTTGTTCGTTTCGAATTTTGAAGCCCTAGTCCCTCAAGTCTGAACGCCCAGCCGGCCCCTTTTCGCTGTGCACAAAATTGAGAGGCCCCGCGAGGTCCCTGCTGCTCTGAGATGTGAGTCGAGTGACCCCTGGCGCTGGCTTTAGGTGGGCCCATAGGCCATTGAGGGCAGCAACATGTTACAAGGAGTCACACGGGGCTGCCGCCGGCCCGCGCGCTAAAAAGAGAGAGTGAGAAGATCAGCTGTAGTAGGGCAGAACCTGGGGGGAGGGGGGGAGGGGTGGGAGGCAGCTGTCGGTTGGCGGGACAAAAGAGGGTGCGACGTCACAGCATCCAATCAAGGGCCACCACCCATGGTGATGCACCGGCACGCAGAGGAATCGCCGCGCCCATTCCCCGGCGAGCGGCTGGCCGGTTGTGCTGCTGGTCCTCGTGCGCCCAGACCCCCAGTGTGCGCGCGCACGAGCCCGCAGCTGCCCGCCACCCCTGGTCACCTGGGTAAGGATGTAGGCCCAGGCCACGCCGGACAGGCCGCCAACCAGCCAGCCCGCGGTGAAGCCGCTCCAGCCCTCCGCGGTCTGCAGGGAGTCCCTCTGCACGGCGCGGCCCGACAGCG